TTTTTCCCTGACAAAGACATTTCCTTGCCAAAGACATTTTTGTAGACAGCGCTAAAATTTGTACTGTTTCCAGCCACTGAAAAATGCAGCCACTGGCCCAAATTTTCTACATTAAAGGAAGCTATAAAGTGTATTTGCTTACAAAAGATCTTCTTTCCTGTTTTGTTTTTGGTTGTGTTTGGTTTTTTCTTACAGTCTCATAGGGCTGATGGACAAGTATTTAATGCACAGGCTCTACTCTAGAAATGTACAGATATTAATAACAGATGAAGGTAATTTAGAGCAACTAATTTCTTGTAGGTATATAAGATTAAAAGGCAAAATCTTGAAATCCTTATTTAGACTTGACTTCTTTAATGCCTCACTCTATGACTGACATCTACATGGATAACTTTTTTACTTTAGATTTGAGCAGTACATAAGGGTTCAGCCAGCCCGTCCAAGAGTAAAAGGTGTTCCTGACCAAAGCTGCTTTGTGATGGACCTGTGATTCGGGAAGGAAAGAGCCCATTTTCTGACCTCCCTGAAGCAGGCTGTACACCACAGTTCGCACGCACCAGAATGCCACGCAGTTCTGTGATGATCGCGCAGGCTCCACGCCTCAGGCACCCTCTTTTTCATTGGCAACAGGAATCTAATAAAGACATGAAACCAGCACTAACAAACTCACTTAAATTAGTAGCCAACAAATCCACAGGCTGCTCCCTTGATACAGTGCCTACACCACAAACAGGGACTTCTAAAGACAAGACGGTTGGAGCTGGATTTTCTTTCTTGCCTGATGCCTAGTTAGAAGGGTGATGTCAGCTCATCCTTTTTACAAACATCCAGAACTTGAAACCAGCTCTTTGCTGGATATGAAACGTTACCGTAAAGGAAGCTGGGCCATTTCCACGAGGAATAAGGAGTGGGCTAGAGCTTCACTATTACTAGAAGAGAGTAGGGGCAGGAAAGTCAGCTATTAACTGCAGCTCTCTGGAGGCACGACTGTCACATTGGTCCCATTTTTACCCATCTGGGAAGGAGGAAACAAGACAGGCAGTCATGAGACTCAGCTGTCCAGCTGACAGACAACAGATAGACCAGTAAAAAACCAGAGTGTTTTCCCAGTGGGAATTTCAGCAAAGAGAGGCTCTCCCAGTTTTGGGTTTTTTTTGCCTTGGGCATTGCCAGCATCATGTGGAGTTAAATGAAACTGCTTCAGATGCTTCAGCTACCAAAGACCATTCTATGTGAATTTTTTATATATATAGACATAGAAACTGAGGTAAAGGAAATGAAGAAACATTAGCTAATTAGCAGAGCCGTTCTCATAGAGCTCTCAGACACTGCCCCGAACTGTGTACTAAACCTGCTGTCATTTACTGGACAGGTGACTCACCTGCTGTTCCAGACTTCTAAAATGGGTGAGAAAGAGCGGGATTTCTATAAAGGCTTCTGAAAGCCCTACCAGTACTTGTCTGAAGCCCTCCCACATTTTAGCGGTGGTAATTATGTTGTCTGAGCCAATATCTGCCTTTCCTTTCTAGCACAGTGCTGTTGATAAAGAGCTATATGGAGTTCACATCAGTTGCTCTGAGCCAGCTGATACGGCAAGATCATTTTTGCATCAATCAGGAAATGCTTTTTTTCTTCATAAAATCATTGTTCACTCAGGTGAGCTAACTAAAGATGACTAACCACGAATCCCCAGTGGTAAAGGTGGATCCCTGCTCAGTTTGTAAATGGGAAAGTGTGACAAAGTTTACAGAATATGTAAAAAAACACCAAACACTGAGAATCTGTAGATTGAAAGAAAATATCCATTCATTAAGTAATGCTGCTATTTTTTAAAATCCATGAAATATTGAACCAGGTTTTTATATGAAGTGTATTCTGTTTTTAAAAAAAAAAAAAAAGATAGAGACCAAGCACTGTTACTTTAAATTGGTTTTAATGTGTCTTTCAGGACAAAATAAACAGGTGTGGATCCAAAATTCATCTGAAAAAATCTGCATAAGGTGTAAGTATAGTTTACACATTACTATGGAAATGCTTCATTTTGTTTCCTTTTATAAAGTGCATTATGCCAAAACTGTAAGACCATATATAGCCAAATTAAAAATTACAAAAGCTTCAAAATCCTACACTGCATGTGCACCTGACTATGAAGGCCATATTGTAAGGGTAAGTGTGAGAAAATACGTCAGATACATTAATGTGCGTGAGTGAATCGGTAATTGCTACTTTTAAAAAACCATAATCTTCACCACGAATTATGCCATTTTGGTAGACGTTTACCCGTATTCTTCCATCCAGATATCTAACAGGATGATGCACCAAACAGTTTTAGTCATTATTATTGCATTTGGCTGGAGAGAAAGAAGAAATTAATTTAAATCACAGTGATTGTTATTAAAATTAAATTCCAAACAATATAAAATAATACACAAGGGAAACAGCCAAAATGAAAGCAAATTTACATATAAATGTTCTTATTAAGCATTGTGTCACTCAGTAGATTAAAGAGCTTTTTGATAAAAGCCTGAACTTATTCACATTTAAGTCAATGACAACACATGAAATTCAATAGGAGTAGAGCTTTCATTTAAAAAATCCATGCTATGAAATGAAATGAAATGCATGATATTATTTTTATGGTAACAGAGTAAGTCACAGGATAATTGCCTATTACATCATGCCCATTGACAACATCACTGGGTTTTTGATGAATCCTTGAATGCAAAGACAGGCAACGTGGATCTAACAGAGACTTAATGGAAAAATTACTTCATGGAAAATAGAAAGATTAGGTGAACAAGAGAAAGTAATCCTGTGAAAATTAAACTAGAAACCCTCATTTTTTCAATATGCCAAATACTTCATTTAGAGTTGACCATTTAATCCAGTTACTCAGCACACCAAGTGGCTTGCTACTCATTGTGGACTTTGCCTCTATTTAAGCTTTGGTTGATTTATAGTGGCAACCTCGTAACGCAAAAGCAGTGATGAAGATGAGGCCAAGAAAAGGAACAGGTCTAGATCATCCAGTAGGCAAATGTCACAAGGTTAAGCCACGTGAGAACAAAACTTCATTACTGTATCTCCAAGCATCTTTATGCTTAAGTGACCTCATATAAATGAGGCACATTTCACAGTGCTTGTAATAATTAGCACTTACCAGCACCTTTCAGAAGTGCTTTGCAAACATTAAATAAGGTCAGAAATCTCATCACTCTTTCATTACACCCATAAATTCGATGGGGAAAGCTTCCTCATCAATGTCAGAGCAAGGACTGCAGGGCTTGACCCACCGACCTCCAAAAAACAGTTTAAAAGAGGTAAGGCAGTATTCCTAATTGCCATTTTACAGATTGCAAAACGGTACCAAGGAGATTAAACAACTTGTCAAAGATTGACAAAGGAGTTGTAGGTAAATTAAGGATTCACAGCTTTGGGCTCTTTTTCTCTCTTTTTAAAAAAAAAAAAAAGTATTCAATTGTGGCATAAAGCCACAGTCTGTGATGAACTGGGGTATGAAGAGACTGCACTGCAGCCGGAGGGTGTAAGAATTCTGCCCTACAAGCAGCAATACATCCATAAACAGTTCAGTTTAGTGCTTCCTATGTGCTTGTACTGGTACTTTTGTAATGGCTTCTTGACACAAATGGGTCTGAACATTAACCATTAATTTAATATTGAGTGAGAAAAGACAAAGGGGATGAGTATGACACAAAATACTCCAGATAGGTTTTTCTTTTTCCCCATCTCTGATGCAAAGAATGTCATCGCTTTGTATCCTTGGAGTTATCATCTCAGAAAAGGGGTATTTTCACACATAATGGCATTACTGGGGTTGTGATGCCATTTCCACAGCCCCTGGGAATGATACAAAAATATTGTTACAGCTGACATATATAGAAAAGGAACATTTACTCGGAAAATTCCGCAGTTAGGGAATAACTCCGTTTCTAATGTATTCTTTTTCCTCTACAAGAGGTAGGCCTTTTTTTGAGAGCTCTTGAAGTACAGCCATTATAGATTAGAAGATCCACAAAGAAATCCAAGTGTATTCTTGAAGATTCTGGGACCTCTCCACGGCTTCTACATGTCCCAACCCTGGCTGCCACATGCCACCCCCTTCTATAAATAGGCATTACATTTTGCTGAGGAAGGTCAAAGTGTGTGAGGGGTGTAAATACTGCGGCAGTCATCATTAAGTCATGCATTGATTTATTCTTGGAAACCTAGGAGCTGTGGAAGTGAGCGTGCCTTACAGAGCTGCAAGTCCCAACTTCCTCAACAGGTAACTACAGTAAAACTTTGGAAATGACAATCACTGCATTAGCAGGAAGAAATGTCTCAGGTTCACTGAGAAAACACAGCGTGCTGTCTCGGCTCCACTCTCCCCATGTGTTTTGTACCCTGAGGACTCCCAAAAATTGCCCTACTGCACAAAGACTGCCCATCTGACAGTCTCCACAGGGATTGTCTGTTAGTACACAGGCTATTTGAAAGAATTATTAGACAAGTCAACTTTCTGCAGTTTGGCCCCTCTACAGATGTTATTTCAGTTACTAGAACAGGCTCTGTGATAGAAATACTTTAGCTGCTCTCTATTCATCTTAGTGGGCTATTAAAAAGTCATTATATAAAAATTATACATAATTGTGTTTGGTTTGTGCAGTCAAAAATACCTACCTAACTTCACTGTATTTTAGAAACTGAAAATCTGTATAATCCAACCAATTTAAGCACACAGTATCTGTCTTATTACTGCCGACCCAGATACATAAACATTTTAACATTTGAAGTTGAAGAACAAATCCAAGCTTCACAATTCTAAAGTTACCCAGTAACAGCTGGAAAAGGCCTAATACTGGTTTCAGCAAGAAGAAATAACTCTATATGGATGTAACATACTTTTCAATAGTAACATGGCTCAAATTTAAAAAAATATTGTTTCCTTATTTTGTTAAGAATACTGTTTTATTTTTATTTTTTTTAATGATGGCCACCAAGAGATTTTACACTGAATTTACTGAGAACTTAAAAGATAAATAAAATGTTATAACAAAGAATATATGTTTTGTTTCTATTCAATTCCTAGAAGAACATGTTGGTTTTAAATAGCATCTCCATTTAAAGAGGAAGCAGTAAGGAACAGATGAACGCTAAATTGTGCTTCTCATCACTGAAGTTCTTCATCTGTTCAGAATAGCTGGATCATGGACTCTCTTGATTTTCCAACTCCGACCCATTTAACTAGGGAGGAAAACACATCTATTAGAAAACAATTACTGAGAGTAAATATTATAATCAATGAATTTGAATAATTTTCACCTTTCATTACACTTACTACGAACTGGCCAACTTTATGCTGAAACAGAATGCTAGGAAGTTTTACTGTCAAAAAATCTCTTTACTCCTGCTGCATTAGCAGACTGTAAGTGCAATATACTGAAGTCTGAAAGCATGAAGCCATACCATAAACACAAAGCACTGCAGAGGGAAGGCCTAACAGAAGGTCAAGCATGTTTGTTGCAGGTTTAACTGTCACTGTCTTGAGTGATAGGATGTCTAGCTAAATCCCTGCAGAGAGGAAGCGAGAGCTCTGTCAGACTGTGAAGTTTTCTTGATGTGGACCAGGAAACAGTGATGTACATATGCTATAATATTGTTAAACGTAAGGCTGCAATTAAAAACATTTAATGGGTGTGAGCAGCCACCCCAAATACCATACTATAAGTGTTCCACTACAGCTTTCATTGCCCATGGATACGATAGAACTGACTGTAGGTAGGTCTCCTTTAGCCATCAAACCCACCAAGACACCTTGCCTTCACACTGAGAACCAGGGAAATAAAGTATGGGGAGCTTTAGTTACATATCCCATCACCCACACACACATCCATGACCACACACCGGAGCCATCAACCGAGTTTCAGGCTCTTCCATCAGATGCCTCCTAATCCATGAACAATACTGGAATTGCCACAGCTGCAACTAGCTCACACTCCCCAGGTGTGACCTTTGAGGTGCTTTATGGAAAACAAAAGCATATGTGCCAGCTTTCTAAGTTTGCTACTGTGGAAATTCCCTTTCAAACTCCACCATTGATGCCACACCTAGCTCTTGGCACCTTTAGAGCTCTAGCAATTAGATTTGAGGAAAAACTCGATGGCTTAACCTTTAGTGACTGCTCACGGGTTAGCTCAGTGGGTTAGAACACGGTGCTAATAATGCCAAGTTCACAGGTTCAATCCCTGCTTACTGCAGGGGGGTTGGACTCGATCTCTCAAGGTCCCTTCCAACCCAAAGCATTCTATGATTCTAAGTTAAGATTCTCATTTTTCCAAAGGGGCAGAATTGGGCTAAACAATCTTGTCTCCATTATGCAACACAACTCCTTATGTGGGTAAGTATGGAAGAGAAAAAAAAAAGAAAAAAAAAAAAAGAGAAGTCTTCAAATAGGGATGCAGTGCAGGAAGTAAATAAAGTGAAAGGAAGAGGTTAGTAAAGGCAGGACATTAAACTGTGCACTGAAGCATGGTGCAAAGATCCCTAAGTTTTCACTGACAGAAGGCAGCAGTTTGCCAAGAACAATGCACATTTATCTTCCCTCCAGTTAAATCCTTGTTAGCAGCAGCCTGGAGCTCTCTGCAACACTGCAGACCTGCCCGCAGAACAGCACCCTTTGCTGCTTCTTGGCAAGCTGTCATTTACCATCATCAGCCCAACCACAGGTACTTCCATTGCTTCCTGCTCAAATCAAGCCACTCCCTGACCGATGAATTGAGCGCTTTTACAGACCTGTCCTGTCGGCTGTGGCATCCTCATATGTACACCTACAGAAAGATTTACCTGGCACTCCAACATGGTTTTCCACACAGCGGATGTAGTTCTGGGCCTTGGGTGGGAGGTCCTCCCATTTTCGTGCACCAGTTGTGTCAGTCTTCCACCCAGGCATTGTTTCATACTCTACTTCCACCTTCTGTAGTATCTCCTGATTAGCTGTGAGAGAACAATTTTTATCACAGTTGATTTTAACTGCTCCACCTTAAAAGAACACACCCATGATTCTTGACCAACAAAAGTCTTTTAATAACATTTAAAATCTGATAAGTAAAAAAAACCAACCAGTATTTCTACTGGTTTAATTCATTTATTCTTAATTTAGATTAATTTCTGTTACTTAGGAAGATAACTCTGATTCAAGAGGATCCAGTAATCCAGTTTCCTCTTGTCAAAACCTTAGGATGCTCTCTATGTTGTCAGAAGACTACAAGTATTTTTAAGGAAACAAATTATTTCAAGTTTACAGTAGTTCCACTTTTTGGTTCGGATTTGCACATAATAAAACAGAAGTCCTCCCGTAGACAAGGCATGACTTTCTCAAAAATTTTTACCTTCATGGAACAGGGTTAGATCAGGCTTGCTAAAAACTTAGACATCTGCAAGCCTTTCCGCACTGGAATTCTCACTGTGCTACTGTCCATAGCAAGCAACTGCTATCAGTGGTGGGAAAGCTGGCTGCTGCCAGCCCTCCCTGTGCCTCCAGAATCCCCCATCTCAACAGAACAAACCCCTCATCTTGGCACAGACTGTTGCAGGTATCTTGAAAACATCGTTAATGTACAAAAATTATGTATTATTACATCTTAAAAATTTTAACATGAAGCACATTCATGAGGCAATGTATATTTTTATAAACCACAATTTTGTTGCTGTTAATTATTTCCATGACGGTAGCCCATAAGAAGCTTTATTCTGCTTGTATCCATCTTATTTTTGCACAGCTTAAGCACTGATTTTATTTTTACTTTACTTCATTAAAGGTTATTGCCAATGATACATAGTTACTGACTTGAATCTTGCTGACTTTCAGACCCCTTGCGTTGTCAATAAAAAAATCTAGTGGGAAAAGACATAGAGACCCTAACACAAGATTTTATTTGCTCCGAACTCATTGTCATCATACATATAGATGCAAGATGACTAGAAAATGCCAATATACTGATACAGTAGTCTTTACACTGATATCACAGTTCTGCAAATTTCTACAGAAGGTCTAGCAAAGAAGAAATCAAGCCTGATTTTAAAAAGCAAACAGTCTTTCCCAACGGGTATGACTTAACAGGTAGGAAAGAGAAAAATGAACATAGATATTTAACAACATACCTGGAAAATACGGTATTCTTTTTCCACCCAATTTGTAAGCAACACCAATTTTAATCTCATCAAGGACATCAAGAATATCCAGTTTTGTTAATGCCAAACTGTATAGAAAAACATTGGTTAGAGTTACACACATGATGAATCTCCTCTTTAATACTTTCCACCTGTCTTTTTTTCTGTTCTTTTCTTTCTAGTTTTGTATTCACAAATCCAGCTCAGGCAACCCAGAAAGCAGAAATACACAAATATATTAAACTATGAACACACTGTTAACTGTATTCACGCCTCTCAGACGAATACATGGCTGAGTTACTAAGACACATTTCCAAATGCTTGGTTGCTCATACAGGTGCACAGTGTTCAGTTCAGCGCATGAAAATGCAAGCTGACTATGCCAAGTGGCACGTACTGGACTTGGTTTGGGCGTGTATGACGGATGTCACTTTATGTCACTACTAGTGATTATTTCTGTGATTCCTACTGATTCACAACAACTATAAGACAGACTTATTTACCAAATTAGACTTTTAAAACAGACTTCACAAGCGTAATCTGGCTACTAAAAGCACATATACAGTTCACTAGAAAAGGTCCCAGCCTGACTTTCAGTGCTGGGCTGTGCTATCAGTGTTGTCAGTTTAACGAACCTTTTTCATCTTTTGAATGAACACACTGGAACACAAAAATGGAACCTCAAGAAGACTCATCAGAATAAAACTGCATTTTAAAACTAGTCAAATTCTCTAGAAACAATATGCCAGACCTTGCTTGGTAAAAATATGAGTAGCTAAGGATTTAGACAGGTATGTGCATAACAGTCCATGCTATGTGTGCCCCGTAAGCATACAATGAATGCAATGATTAAATTAAAAGACCTTTTGGGAAGGAAGCAGCACAGAGCCAGTTCTTCAACTTTTTTGAAGTTTTTATCTCCCCATGTTTTTTAACTGTCACAGTTACCAGAGATGGCATAGTTTTGTTGACAGAAGTGCAGTAATTGTATAGAACTGAAATGGAAGGAAACATAATGCCTTCCTAATACTATTTCCACATAAACTAGGGCTGTGTGAGTTAAAGCAAAATATAAATCCAAGTAAAAAAAAAAAAAATTCTAAAAAACCCTTCTGATAAATTAATGAACAAAACATTGTTCCTTTGTAACACTAGTAGCATAAACAACATTAATTCTCAGTTTGTAAGATATTAAAATGCCTGGGATCATGTGTTTGCATATATGAACAAGTTTACTTGAATGCATGAGTCAGACTGCACTTTACATGAACAAAACTGTAACAAAACTTTTGCAACTTCTGCTGAAAATAGATTGGTAAATAGTTATAAAGTAACGGGTTGTGACAGTTACTAGCATTTTAGCATTAGACATAAGCTAGCTTGATGGCATTATGAACAGTTCCCTTAAACAGCCACTTTTCCTTTAAAATGCCAATTTAATATGTATTTTGAATTATAAAATAATTTATCAACCAAGTAAGTTACTTAGTCCCAAAGAAAATAAAACTCAGCCCATTAAATGCAGAACTTATAATACAATATTAGGCTACATCTTTGTAAATAAATGAACCTGTCAGGACCGGAATGAAAGCTGTGCCAGTTGTTGTATGCTTTGTGTCATTCCCCTTATTTCACTTCAAGAGGTAGTGGTTCCAAATGGTGCAGAACTGGTCCTACAGGTATAATCCACTAGAGTCAACCAAAGCTCAAAACCACCGTGTTTTAGATCACGACATAAGTCAGTATGAAAGCACTGATCAAGAACACTAGAGCAAACTGATAGAAAACTGATACATTGATCCAATCTGCACTGGCCATCTGATGTAAGCAAAGTGAAAAGACATATGAAAAAAAATCACTGCTATGATGTCAAATCACTTGATTCGAAAAAAAAAGTCAAAGGAATTAGATTATTATTAGCATTAAGACAATTCTCAGTAGCCCATTGTGAATTATTTTATTGCTTAAAATGTAACATTTTACTGGACTTATATTAACGTTACCTACATATTTATTCTGTGAAGCACAAAATTATCACTTCCAAATGTAGCGCAAAATCTGTGATGCTTACGCAGTGAATCCGTTGATCATATGAGCATATTTCAAAATGACAAGATCTAACCAGCCACAGCGTCTCTTTCTGCCTGTAGTTACTCCCCATTCATGGCCACGGGACTGTAAAAGATCTCCAATTTCCTAAAAGAATACAGAAAGAATGCTGATGGTATTTCACTGAAAAACAGCAGGGAAACAAATGTAAACAAATAAAGACAAATAGCAATGAAAATATAGTTGTTCAAAGCTTTTTTTGTAGGAAAAAAAGAAAAAAACAATTAAGTTTTATTAGGAGAGAACTAAGGCGGAGAATAAAGCCCCTCATACACAGGATTTTTGTATTTCAATCACTAGCATTTCCAAAATACTTATTTAGTATGACTATTTCATGCTCCAAGGAGACACTTTTCTTCCTTCTTCATCTGAGAGGAAGATTTCCTTGACAGTTCAGCCCTGGTTTTAATTTTGTTTGCATTTACTTTCTTCATCTGGGCTTTTGGCATCTATTGTTTTTGGGGGCAAGACTGTAAATGCTTGGGACAAGATCAATGCTTGTACAATGTCTAGGTCAGACTCCTTGGCCATGCCTACGGCTTCTAGGTTCTACCCCAGTATGAGACTGCCAACTACCCCCCTTTGGGCTGGCAGCGTTTATAATGTGTTAAAAATGAAGATGAAAGAAACTTGTATGCTCATGATTCATAAAACTAAAGGATATCACCAACTGAGCCATTAGAGAAAGGATTTTAGTGACTAAATCCATAAATTAGATTTGGATCACTGACCTAGAGATTGCTTGTGCATAGCTCATAATCAATACCCTGAGCTTTCTAGTTTCTTGATAAGGAAAATACAATAGACAGTTTAAAAGAATCAAAATCTCTCCCCTTCTTTTTATTGATCAATTTGTGCATGACTGGCTGACACACACACCACATTTATTCTATAAATCACACAGAACACAGGCTGTTAAGCACAGAAGTTGTATCTTGTAATTTAAGCTTTCCTGTGATGCACTGACAGTTCCAGTTGACAACAAACTCTAACCACTGAAATGCAGCTAATGGTATTATGTAAAATGATGAAATTTGTTTTCACATCATTCATTACAACAGAAGCGTGATCACTGTAGTATAACATGACCACACTCCTGTTTCTCTCCTCTGAAGAAAAATACCTTAAGTTTATAATGTAATTCTCCTCTCTTCTTGAGTGCGATTGCTTGGCGTTATTATTATGGTGCTTATTTGTCGTTGGTAAACCCTTTCCTAATTCCATTCACCTTATTTTTTGGCAACTGTATATATTGCATTTTGTAACATTAAACCTACATTAATCTGCTCAGTGGGGAAGGCTCCAATTCCCACCCGAGTAGTATACGCCTTCACCACACCATACACATCACCGACATGCTGGGGAGGAACACCAAGCCCGGTGCACACACCACCTACGGTGCAGTTCGATGAAGTCACGAAAGGATACGTGCCTGTCAGAGAAACACAACAGCACAACCCTGTTTCAGCAATGATAAGAAACAGACTGACTTTCCTTTATGAGTTCAAAGGAGATTTTCAACTGTATGTTTGGCTTTAAAGCTAAACTGAAATAGCAGCCAAAGAGCAGGGCAAATTCTTCTTACTACATGTCCCCATTTTGCTTTTAAGAGAACAAATTAAGCTGTTCTTCCCAAAATTGCTTCCTCCTGTAGTGAATAATGTGTATTTAGATTTCCAAAGCTCCACAGAAACCCCTCAAAATGAAGGATTTTTTCTGCTCAAATAGCTGACTTATCCTGGTAATTTGTATAAGTATATTATTAGTGAACAAGAAGTTCACGCAGACAAATAAGAAAATATACTACTTTCTTATACTTAAGGAGGTATCCAGTATGTGCAATCTGTTCCAATGCATAAGCTTTTCTGCATTCATCCTTTGCAACTTTCACTGTGAGGATTGCCCACAAGGGAGCAATTTAAAAGCATCTCAATACTACTTCCATTAGGCACTGGATCTATTATAGGATGCTGCTGCCGTGTAAAGCTTTTTTCACTGTCCTGTGTATCACAGAAAGTATTTCCGCAACATCCACGGAGAGCCTGGTATAAAGGTCACAGTCTGACATTCCCAATGCTCTACGCAAGTAGCTCTGAGTATCTGCAGCAAATTTTCTAAGTCTTAAGAGGTTATTCATGATCTCTACACTGTGACTCTGGATTGGAGCACCTCTCCGCTTCTTCATTTCATGTTCATGGAGACCCGAGTGGTTTAATTAGGCTTTTCGTAAGAGAGCAGAGCAGAGATCAACTGAAGAACCTAGACTTACAGGTTATCTGCACCAGTTTAATCCTCCCTCCATTGCAGAGGAATTATCTCAGCAGCAATGCAATGCCTACCTAGAATGTGTGGCAACGTGCACACACATTTAGAAGTAATAAAGACAAGAATATGTGGAGTGAAATTTAACTCCACTGGAATAAACTTCAGTAAAAAAATCAGTATTTAAACCCAAAGTACTTAATCCTGTTATGATACAATCTCTGGCTTACTGTGCTTTACTCTTGGGAGATCTGTTCCTATTAAAGGAAAGACTATTTTGTTTCTTGATTTTCCTGCTGTTTGCAAAGCAGATATAAACACAAATCAAAATAAAACTAATCTCTCAGGAATTGAGTTAAAATTTAACTCACCGAAGTCAATATCAAGTAATGCTGCATTGGCTCCTTCAACAAGAATCTTCTTTGGGGAGCCATGAAGAGCTTCATACATAAAATACACGCCATCTCGAACCATGGGTCTTATTTTTTCAGCATATCCCTGCAAATTTGAGTAGAAATATCAGCTTCCCCCGACAATGGCTGGAAGCAGGGAACACTGTGTTCACTTTTGAAACACGAAACATACAGATAGCCCTAACACACCAGCTTCAGTAACTGTGTTTTACCTGATAAGTACAACCATTAGCTTTTATTCTATTGAAAACAAACCAATTTATTGAACGACTCACATAAGAAAACACAAGTTGTTATGGCCTTAGAATGCCATAATTTCTGTACCATTTCTATTCACAGAAGTCTTGCATACCTACCACACTTTGTTGATATAGTCTGTATATAGTGTGTCTATAGTCTAGACACAGTGAGAGTGGGACTTAGAAACAGTGCAAGCTCCAAAAGAAAAAAAAAAAAATCACTACTCACAAATATTAAAAAATATCTTTAAAAGGTAGGGTGTCAGCTCTGAACAAGTACCAGACAAAACTTGGGAAAGGTAAGAGATTTTTTTTTAGCATCCTCTTTTCTTGCATATTCATGAAAGAAGATGTTTTACCAGTGGCTCTTCTGAATTTATTTATAAAAAGACATTTTTCTTGTAATACCAGGATCTTGAAACACAGCTTGCACAAACAATTCTTCAGTGGAAGCTGTGTTTCAAGCATGGAAGTCTCTCAGACAGACTAGATCAGTCATGGCTGGAGATGCTAACTGCAAGTGTCACCCTGCATTCTCCTGGCTACTTTAATACAACAGTTATTCTATGTCAAGAAAGTAAAATATTATAGGAGAATTAAATCCTCCACAAAATTTATTTTAATGTCCACAATAAGAGAACATTCTATTAAAAAGCATAGCTACTCCTTATTAAAATGTTTTATAATTATGAAGATATGCATTTTTCATTTAAATAAATTAATTTATTTAATAAGTAGTAGTTCTGGTACACTTAATTTTTACTTTTTTAGTTAAAATAAATATTACTATTTTCTTCTGTGCTTTCCCTGAAGCTGAACAAATAATACAAGTGTTAACTCCTTACCTTTAGCTTTTTCAATTGTCCTTCGATATCTATTTCCAATGTGGGAAACATTGACTTGTATTGTTGCGCCAGATTTTTAAATCTGTAAAATATTGAAATCGTATCTATGAAGAACAGTCTTTGAGTTACTGTTCATAGAACCTTTGGCAAGAACTCAGCTTATCTTATACACAGTATACTGAGAGCTGAAGGGAAAAAATACCCAGAACTTCGATACCTCAATCAGTGCATGTCCCAATGTACAAAATTACATTTTAAATGACGAGAAACTCTGTGAAGTACAGGAAATATACACACACATTTTTTCCAGTTTTCTTCTCCTTCTAGACAACTTATATACAAAATTCAGACACATATTTAAAAACATCTCCTTAAAAGCAAATCTGTCACCCAAAATGTATCACTCTAACATATTATTTGGAAATTAAAATAGTCGTACCTTGAAGAAAATTCATCAAAATCAGAAAGGAGGTCACAAATTCGAAGGCCTGTTCGTGCAGCTTTGGAAGAATATGTTGGTCCAATCCCCTTCTTTGTTGTGCCAATACTAATTAAAAAGAAAGCCCCCACACATGTATAAATATATGCAAAAATATGCTTTATGCTAAGTAATTTTGTTAAAGCTCTTCAGTATACCATATACTGGGCAGAAGATCCGAGACATAAAAAAAGACTAAAGTTCTATAATAATAAATATATAGCAACTTTCATGCTTCAGTGGATTTGCATAAATATTGCTAATATGGTATGTGGTAAAGCATTAAGTCTTGAGTCTGGCTGAGACAAGCTTAGCTGAAACTATGTGTGTATATACATATATTATATAGTAATAATGGTTACTATACTATCTTGTGGTACCACTACATTCCTTCCCACAAACAGGAAACAAATGTCATTTTCACATTTTCACAGTTGCAGCACTGTCTGTAGTTGTAAACAACAACCAGTTCTGCGAGCGATCAAACTGGTTTCCTATGGCTTTGGCATTATTCGTACCAGCTCTGTCCCTATGAACTGTTGCTGCAGCCTTTCTCTTGATGAGGATAGAATGAAGCAGTTTCCCTACCTGCCTATTTTAATGTGCATTTTAGAAATACAGTAATTTTGAGATCTCTCTTTGTATGTTAAGTTTGGCTGAAATTGTCCAATGGGATCAAAAACTAATAAGACTAACAGAGAAAAACAGTGTTCACATAAACCTTTGTTCTTTCAGAAACCAGAATAACAAAGTATGAATAGTTACATATTAAAGTATAAGATTAAAACTGAAATAGAAACTAATATCTCCATGAAGTCTAAGTGAATACCTAATAAATGATTACAAGTGTGGAACCTAATCGCACCAACACTTCAGACCTGAGTCAAAAGAGCATCACTAGTCCAGTATCAAACTGGACGGGAAACATCATTTTAATGGAAATGGGTTTTAGCATTTGGTAGGAATTTCAAAATGTCTCTATATGTTGCACAGAACTGGAAAATGGAAATATGTAAGAATTCATACCCTGTCTTTTCAGTAATACCTCAGAGTCTGTTCACTAACATAAGCAGTCACAGAATCAGTAACATTAGCAAGGCTCTTTAGACATACATTGCATTTCCGTTTTCCAAAATTACACCGGTTTTTCAAATTTGCATAATTATTAATGAAATGAAGGTGCTGAAAATATTTACTTTTTTCCTTCTTGGGCTTGACGTTGCACTTCCTGGAGCCCATCTACTGCCTGGTGAAAGTCAAACACTGCAACAGAATGGACACAGTGGGAGACCAAAGGAGAAAAACATTCCTTAGAACACAGACATCTATAATTTCAAGACAAAGTGCCTTTGTTATCACTGATAGTGTACAGGCCTCCTCATGTGAAAACAGCACGAGTATTCCTTAAACATTGTGAAAACATGCAAAACGTCACTCTTTAGTGGATACAAATCCCACTATTATGCTTCAGATACACAACATATGAAGAAGCCGCATAAGATCAAATACATGACTGCTCTGTGGAATAATAATGTAGTTTAACACTATGAGCTAAGTAATCATTTGTGAGGTTTTTCCCCTTCTTCAACCATCACTTACCTATATGTGCTCTATCTGATATAATCAATCTTTTCTCCCAATCTTTTAAACCTGTCAGAAGATATAAAGAAAAGTAGGATTTCAGCTGCGCTGACTGGTCAGACTTTGAGATTTGCTTTTAGTTTTTCTATGTCTGTCTTCTAGTTTATATGGCTTCTTGTTAAGAAGACTGTAGACAAAATGGATAAAACGTAAGTAAATATCAAATATCAGCAATGTTTTCATTAACAAACTTTTATCATTTTTTAATTTTTCAGCTTTCTCATTTTGGTATGGACAAAGATACTCACTGCTTCTTAGTGCCAGAATGCTGTGGCTTACACACAATTCTTATTTTAAGGAAAGAATCTTGTTTAACTCACTACACAATAAATCGCTTAAACTCCATTTGTGGCTCAGAAAATAGAGAATTTATATATACAGAATCATAAAACAATTTAAGATGTAAGGGACCTTAGAAGGTCATCTGGTCCAAAGCCTGGCTCAAAGCAGAACCAACTGAGTTTACACTGGGGCACAGAAATGGGGACACAGAAACTCCGGGTTAAATCATCTCAGTTCAAGTCAAAGGGAGCTTTGCCACACACTTTAGGATTTTATTTTCTATCTAATGTGGTATCAAATGCCATAAAACTCCCTGAAAACCCATGAAAAGATTGCTTTTGAAAATCTGTCTGAAGACTATTCAGACATTCAATTCAACATTTTAGATACTGTTTTCCTCATTATATAAAATCCAGAATGTTATTGCACTGAATATTTATGGTCAGAAACAAAGGCTTAAAAAAACCCCTCCACCTGGCTGCCAATATAAAGAAAGGTTAAAAATTACTCGATACAAACCTTTCTTTTCATTCTTTTCAGCTTCTTCAAACAGGCCTGGTAAATGTATAACCACTCCATTACCTTTGGGAACATAAATGATTTATTTCAAAGCAAGAAATAAAATACTCATTCTTAGGATGTAAGGCATGTAAACACTTGCTGTCTGAAATTTTATTCAGAAAGTAAGACTAAGTTTCTCATATTTCTCACAAAGTGATTTTGAGAAGTTTTTTGATAAATCCTCATTTTGGGTAAGCAGCTACAAGCCTGCTAAAATCAGAAAAAACAGAGCTTGCTTGTTTCAGATGTGAATGCGGGGCCTGCTCCGAAGCCAGCTGAGGTAAGCGGATTCTTGTCTTTGTTTGTGGTGAACTTTGCACCACGACTTCAGCCTCAATTGTTCACTGGTAAAAGCTCAAAGAAGCCCATGGCCTTACAACACTGAGAAGTCTGCATGACAGTATTTAAAATTTCTTCAATATTTACTTATTTGTTTTAAACGCAGCTCAAACTAGTGCTGTGATACATTACCAATGCCTTCTCCCTGCTTTTGAGCTACAACATGAAATCCACAAGCAATACAAAGCATAACTGATGAGACGTGGAGGATTACTGATGTAGTGGGCTGGAAACAGCTGCTGCTTCCTTCTTGGGAACATCAGAAATATCTGCAAGAGCCCGTCTCAGCCTAAATTTAGGATACCTTAAGTTATAGTCTTTACTAACTGACAAGGGAGTAAAGTGGAAAGCAAGACAATACATCATATTTAGCAGAGAGAAAAAATATGTTTCGTATATTTCACTCATCCATTTGGAAATTATCCAATGGAAGAAAAATGCAACTACAGTTCCATGACTCACTAAAACTTACACTCATTTCTTGCACAGTCTGTATACATTTTTTCTGTTAGAAAGAATCATAATTTTGGACAAGTAAAAGGCTTAACTTTGTCTATCCCTTAAATATGAGTTTAATGTCCAGTAAGCAGTGCAAACTTTTTTATGATGCCATTTGCATCAAATATCTTTACAGTGAAATACAACATCACCTTAAACAGCTAATATTGTGAACAAAAAGGAGACTGGATGATGACCATTCAAGCAGAGCCCTGTATCCTGGGGCCTATTTCTGGAAAGTCAGTAAAAAGGTGCCAGAGATAAATGATATAATTTATTTAGCCTAAGTGCTGGGTTTTGTGTCCTCAAAGAATAGCATTTATATTTCTGAAAGTACAAAAGGAGCGTGCAAGCAGAGAGTGGGATCCGAACTTGTACCATAAAGTATAAGAAAGAGCAACATGATAGAAAGAGGGGGTTCTTACTTTCAGTTTTCTAGTAGCAGACACTAAACTGACACTGAACATACAATAACTCTTCATGTTAAAGCAGCAGTGAAATAAAAGACAAACAGCTACAGCTAAAGCAAATCTGACTGACAGTCACCTATACGTTTTTCTTTCTTTGCTACTATAAACTATGGTTGCAGCTACCCACCGTGTAATGTTATTTTATTAAGTTCCAAAATTGTCTTACCAATAAAAGAAATTGCCTTTGGATTAATGATGCCACTAGGAAATAGGTGAAAATCATATTCTTTCCCATCAACAACCACAGTATGGCCTGCGTTGTTCCCACCCTGCAACAGAAAGAAACACCAGAAGATTAATGGTCTTATACCACTGCTCTAAACTCTCAGCAGATTGGACAAGATCATCTTTTTTTTATTTATACATTCATGTCTTAGGTCACTGCCTTCTCCACCTTATAGTTTCTTGAGATGCTGTAGTACTGTAAAAAGGGCTCAGACAGGACAATTAGGGGGCTGAAGGACTTCGGCAGGACTGTGTAGAATTAGGAAGCAGAATGATACCATGCAGTCAAGGCAGGACTGGGGCAGAGCAAGAGTAAATGCAGGGGTGGTGGCAGAAGCTAGAAGAGAACTGAAGCTTTCTGGGAACAAAACTGGATTGAACTACCACCCACAGAATCCTGTCTCTGATGTGCCTAGACAAGCCTACCCTTTTTGGGCATCTTCTGTGCATGGTCATTTCTTTAGAATTAAGCCTACAATGCCCAATATTTCTTTTGGAATGGATGCTCTTCCTGCCTGCCCACCCACAAACAGCTACTGCTTCTCTAGGTGTTCAAGATGGAAGGTCTGTATAGAGTTGGGAGCATGTGCAGTCTTTGCAGCTTCACAGAATCTCCCTCTCAAGGGATGATCTTCCCAGTTAACACCACCGCAGCTTTATGAAGTCTACTACAATTCATACCTTATACAACCATCTACCAGACCTGAGAATGGAAGCTGGCATTTTCCTCGAGAAACTGATTTTTCCAAAAGGCTTTAAAAGAGCATGATGAGACAACAATGAATTTGGGAAGAGGTGAGTAAATCAAGGTCACAAGCTGATTTGAACTGAAGCAGCAAAGTTCTGAAAATTAAATGTCCAGTTTTCTTGACAGGCTCAATGTTTGTTGCTGTTCTGTGGTGATACAACTTTTTCTCCTTAAGGCTGGGAAATCTGACTACTTGTCTGCCACAATACTACAGGCCTTCCATTTTCCAAAATGATGACAAATCTTTGTGGATTTGATAGGAGGTCTGAATGATGTAGAAGTGTCTGGAATGAGTGCATGTACTGGAAAGAGAACTAAGACTGTGACTGGTAATTTGCAATTAATGAAGAGTGTTGGCTGAATGAGAGGAGCTGGTACATGAGTACTCTAAGAAAGAATAGTTATTTATAACAATGTAACACATGTTCTTGAGAGTTTCATTTGCTTGTTTGCCCATATGTTTGCATGTAATATACAGGAAAATAGCAACTGACATTCCTTTCAAAATGTGATTATACACTGAAACGCCAACATTAAAAAAAAATAAAAGATACAAGTCATAAAAAAATTCAAGTTCTTTTTTAAGCAGTGGGATGGAGGGAAACATTAAGAAATATGCTTTTAAATACAACAAGAGTTTTGTTGTAATCACGTTTTGGAAGACGTGAGCTCAACAACGAAGTTTAAAAAGATAACCTGCTAAGGGAGAGCTGAATACGAGTTGTAACAGGGAAAACTGGTACATGCAAAATTTCATTTTATGTAGCAAACTCCTGGGTAGCTCATCCTTGGGCTGGGAAGGACTCCCAAGCGTCTTGCTAATGCAGAATTATAACTTGTCTGGAGAATCCTGAAGAAAGCAGAACCGTCCTGGGTATATAAGCCAGTTGTAGGAACCTGGATCTAGTTCAAGGTACTGAACTGTCTAGCAGGCTAATAAATCACGCAGGAGACACCTTTACATGATATTTAAGAGGTCTGAGACTGGATAGTTGCACTGGTTGAAACACTAGCTTATTTTATTACAGTGGTACCAGGCTTGACAAAAAGGCTAGTAACTTCTTCTGAAACCATCAGCTTTCCTTTTCTGCTTGCCTATAGATGATGGCAAGATGGAAACTTTAAAGGAATGAACTCCATCATTTAACACTGACTTAATCTCTACTACAAACAACAGCTTTCACGTTTCCTGAGAAAATGCGGAACCACACTCCTTCAAAAGTATTTGTTGTCACTAACAGTATAGTTATAGTCTGCTTTTCTTAATCAACATGAACAAATGAAATCCAGCTTGAGGACTTACAATCTGAGATAACAGCACTCTTAAATTATAGTCAGAAGTGTTTTCCTGTATCGTAAAATTCCAGAAGGTGGGATGTACCAGTATGAGAATGTTTATGAAATATAGTTTGTGACTTTGGAAACTACTAATACGCAGACAAATGCTGTTTCTTTCTTTAGCAAATGCTTAAAAGGGGACATTAATCAATCAGCTGTGAAAGCTGGCATACATAAAAAGAATGCTGAAGCACAGAAACATCAGCAGATATGATACATCCTTTAATTGCCAAAATCTCTGAATCCACTTTCAGTCCCTCTGGACAGATAACATAAACCAGGAATTCAGTGACAGACCTTATAAAACAGCACTTCTCTAATCTAAAGCTAATGTTGACAGCTCTAGAACTGGTTTCGTGCACTGCTCAGGTTGGTCTGTGTTTCCTAAACAAGCGTCTTCTGAGTATATTTTTACAGCTCAATTAATTACATTTTTACAAATATAATTAGATCGGTAGCAGAGCATCGAATTGCCCAACAGACATGATCTAACTTGCAAAACATACCACTGGTCTGATGAGATACTTTCAATTTATTATCTGGTCATCTCAGTAATTTCCATGTTCAGTTTCATAGATATTCTAACAGCATATTGGCAGTCTAATGGCTCAGATATTAAAGATATCTACTCCTTTTCTAAATTTATTTGAGTTCTAAGAGTCAATATAGAGTCTATATGAGCCATTTATTTTGCTAACGAAGTATAAGGGGAACCTAAAAGCTTGTATGGGCTTAATCTGAAGATTACATGATTGAAGGTGCATGGTACACTGCAACCATGTAAGCTCCCTTCTTTTCCTCAAATGGTGTTTCATTGAAGCGGTGTCAACACTAACACACCTAGTGACAATATCCTCTGGACTCTCAGGATGCTTCCCCTTGGAGCAAGAAATCTTTGGTTTCTCTGCTTGGCCCTTGCTTCAAATGCAGCTCTGCATAATGAGCTGCCATTTAATACACAGACCCAGCTCACAGAATCTCTGCTGTGCACCACTGATCTCACCTGAACTTTATTTATCTTTCATCATTTGCACTTTCCTAGGTCTCTAGAGATGGTATCTGCCTTCTTTTGTGGTTCTTCAAAAACTTCTCTAAGGAAGGGAACATTAAGGCAACAACTTCTGACAGGTTAATCACCAGTGCCACTTTGGCATCATCTGTATTGCGAAATGATGGTATGACCAGAAATAACAATTAGCATTCACTTCCAAAATCTAGGAAGCCTGGGCATTCCCATGAAACTACTCCGGTGTGGGAAGTTCTGTTCCAAAGAAGGAACCATTAGGGGAGCTACTGAAGCTCCAAAAGGCTAAGAGTGCAACTGGGATGACAGCAGCATCTTGAACATTAGCATCCGCTTCAACCTGAAACCTTCCTTACTGCTCCTGCAGTGATTCCAACATGCTCACTAGCACTTGTGTCCCTTCTGTTAAGCCAATTTAATCTTTAGTGACTCTATTAAAACTGTACCAAATGCAGGAAGCCTACGAGGTGCAGGTGATTGGGGCTAACAGCAAACTGCAGCAATGAAAGGGGACTTGTGAACTAGAAAGTACTAAGCATGGCAGAGAAAACATGATAGATATCTTACTATAGTAATAAAAAGACCTAAATACCATTTAGGAAGCTCATCTCCAGAGAGCACACAAAAATCCTTCCTTTGAGGCACTGCTTAGATACAGTAATACTTTTTGACTGTTCAGCCATGGCTGTTGTTCTTCGTATCAGCTATATGAAAGTTTCAGAGCAGAAAAATGCTTGTTTCTAACAGTATTTGGTAGGTGTTAAAGTTCTTCACATTTAAATCAGGCACCTAAGAAAAAAATAACTTTAACTGAAGTCATTCATAGCCTGCAGTGGAAAATTAGTATTCAGCCTTTTGAAAGTACCTACATTGCTTAACAAATCAGTTTTTATTAACTTTGAAAGCACTAGAAGTTGCAGCTCTATTAACAGCATTAAATATGTATAACTTCAATATATTTTGCCTAAGGAATGCTCTATTACCTTGTGGTGCTTCAAGTTATACCGCCTTTCTTCTAAAATCCAGCAGACCACCAGCAATGTGGTTTAAATTTAACAACCTAAAATGCCTGTCATTCCAGGTTAGAAAAACAGACTGTAAGCTAATGGAAAGAGTTGCAACATGTTGCTTTCAAGAATTAAACAACAGGAAACATACTAGGCATTATTTTCAGAGCAGAGTAATCCTATATGGTGAGGTTTTGTTGTTGGTTGGTTGGTTTTTCAGTTATTTTTAAAGAATGTTTAAGTTAGACTCAAATAAAAATGAGATTCTTTTCTGGAAGATTTTAATCTATATTTTCAGATTCGAATAATCAAGGTATGAAGTTACATGTTGTCCCAGTACCAGAAGAAGCTAAAGGGACTTAAGAAGCCTTAATAAAACATCTGAATGTTTTTTTCAAGAACATTATTTAAAAAGAAAATACTTTTCCAAGCTTTTTACGTGCTTTATTTGTGATATTGGATTCTTGCACTGAAGTGATGTACTTGCACCCTCACCAGGTTTGAAGGTGACACCAAGCGGAGTGGTGCAGTTGACACGCCAGAAGGACGAGATGTCACCCAAAGGGACCTGCACAAGCTGGAGAGGTGGGCCTGTGTGAACCTCATGAGGTTCAACAAGGCCAAGTGCAAGGTCCTTCACCTGGGGCAGGGCCACCCCCGATATTGATACAAGCTGGGGGATGAAGGGATTGAGAGCAGTCCTGCAGAGAAGGACTTGGGGGTCCTGGTAGATGAAAAACTGCACATGAGCCGGCAATGTGCGCTTGCAGCCCAGGTGGCCAACCGTATCCTGGGCTACATCAAAAGCAGGGTGGCCAGCAGGTCGAGGGAGGTGATTCTGCCCCTCTACTCTGCTCTGGTGAGACTTCATCTGGAGCACTGCGTCCAGCTCTGGGGCCCTCAGCACAAGAAGGACATGGACCTCTT